GTGGTTTGGTTTTTAACTGCAGATAGAACTTAGAATGATCTACAGTAATGACCTGTAAGCAATGATTTTATTAATTAGAGGAGTTATTCAAATTAATAAAAAAGCAAAATATTATTTCCTAAATTACATTTAGAGAAATAGTTTTTTGATGATGAATGAGTTAGTATGTGAAAGTCACAACAATTTGTAAATATCTAGCATATATTCAATAAACTGCAGGTTAATAAAAAAAAATATATATATATATATAGTATATATAATTCTTCAATTTTTTCTTTTTCTTAAATTAACGATTAATAGTACAAGCCAATCACAACCATGTCGATCATTTTATATTCATATTATCAATAAGATGCGTTTCAGCTAAGGGGCGAACACTCATCATGAGCTACGAGGACACTTACTCACTTATGCCCGAAAAGACGCAATCTATAGTCTTAGGACATGAACGTCGTAGTTCTGAAAACGATGCAAGTTTTAGGCCCTCCCTTAAACAAAAGTAAGTTGACAGATACTGCGGAGGAAGTTTGATCATTTTTTTTATTCCTCAGAAAATAACAAGGTAGAAACCAGGTTCCGCGAGCCAATAGCGAAGCAGATTATTACACAGATTCTTAATGAAAGATTGGAAAAGGCTATCTATGACAAGGATCAAGCTCCCCTTTGGGCTCGTGAAATTGCGGAAGAGATAAAATTTAAATTATTGGGTAAATTTAATTTTTGTCTGGCGTGTGAGTCGTGGTAGTCATTGGTAATTAATTCACGAAGACATTATTTTTCAAAATGGGAATCTAATATAATAAGACTTGGAACTTAATAAGTATAAATACATCGTTAATGTTACCATATTGGAAAATAAAGGAGCAGGGGCTAGGTATTGACGATTGTAGTTCAAAAGTAATTTGATTGTAAGCGAAAAACTAATCGAAACAGAATTCATACATGACGTATTGTCTAGAATGCAAATCAATTGTCTGTGGGATAAGGAAACCGACAAAGTGGCTCAGGACACCTTCAAAAACGTAAGTTCATCAGTATTTTTCGTTCAATTCAATTTTTCCAAGTTTCCTAAATATCAACTTTAATGATTTTTAGGAGACCATCATATGTGTGGCCATGGCGTTTGGCGTATATTTTTATTAAATAGTCCGATAGATATTCCTTAGAACATGGGGATTTATGATGTGTATTACTTCGGATCTTTAACTCATGTATCTGCATGTAAAGAGGGATTTGTGATTTAAGTTAAATTATTTGTATTCCGTATATTGACCTATTCAAATTTTGTAATGTGACAATTGTAATAACATGCGGTTCAGTTTCACAAGGAAATGGATGCCAATAGGTGAAGAATAAGTGTGCTACCTCAACTGTAAAGGATCGCAATTTTTGCAATGTTTTCTCTGTTCGTTCAAATCGAAATCTTCTGATTACTGCCAAACCTGTTTTTTTTTTCCTGTTTCTTTAAATTAAAATAACCATTTTTAGATAAACATAAATGTAAAAATTGCCTGCCAAAAACAATTTTTTTTAAAAAAAAAAATCGAAATTTTTACTATAAAAGATGTCAAAAGGTCATTTATTCGTCTAATGATTTGTGTTTATAGCGTGTTCATTTATAATAAGTTTTCCGTAACACAAGGTTTACCCTTTGTCTTTGCATAATATACAATACTTCTTGTATTACCATCGCAATGTCGCATATATGCACGTACCTCTAGGAATCCAAGAAACCCTTAAATACCCAGTAATCCAAATCACAGCTACTCAAAAGTATTGTCCACTTCTCCTTGGACCAGAAAACTATGCCGTCGGAACACTCTCGTTCGTCTTCAGGCTCATCAGCGACATCAGTTCCTACAATTAACGTCAAATATGCCCCTCCTCCACTGAAGAATGCTAATCATTCAAATTCAACTTACAATAATGAATTGCTAGATATCACTAATAGCACTTCCCGTGAGAAAAGTCCTTCAAGGGAAAGAAACTCCAGAGGAAAAAGTCCTGGGAGGAACAGCAAACGTGGCAAGAGTCCTTCTCTTGACCCTCCGAAAAGTCCAAATTCTAACAGATCCAGGAGTCCCGGAAGCCGCCCTCGTTCAACAAGTCCACGTAACAAAGTGGAAAATGAAAATTCCGGAAACAAACAATCTCAGGACGCTCGTATTGGCTCGAATCTTAAAGTCTCTCCTTGGGTTGCTTCGTCACTTAAGACAGCAAAGAACAACTCATCCACAAGGGGCTCTAATCGTTTGAGTCTTCCTCACAACTTTTCCGAATTTAACATTAATGATATTAATGCAATACGCGAGAGAAACGAGCACTGGGAAAGACTAAATAATGTTTCTAGAGATACCAAAGATGGAAGCAAAAGTGGAATGGGAAATTTCTCTAAAACTATTTCCCTTCGAATTGCCCCTCTGCGCCCAAAATTATTTGTGGACACAAACAACAACTCACAAGGAAGTAAGCCCATGCAGAGGAACCCATCCGGTCATCTTACCGGAAAATTCTCCGATTCACCTCTGGTGGCTGCTATTGGACTTCCTTTGACCAGATCCAGAAGTTACAATTCTGCTATGGAGGACACTCCTCGCATACCCGCAACAGAATTTTCGAAGGATATAAAAGTACATCCTCTTCAGCATCCATGGTAAAATTCTTACTATCCTATGTCCCCTCAAGTGATGACACTTATTAAGACTTTTTTTCTTTAATGCATGCTAATCAAATCGAATTCAGGACAATGTACTATGACAGTAAACCAGTCATGACACCAGGACCTAAAACACCAACCGGAAAAATGTATGAAGAAAATTTACAGACCATTGGCACGTTTGACACGGTACGGCAATAAAATGTTTATTCATTCTTCGACATGGTATATTTGTGAATATTAAATAAACATCTCTACGCTGATAAAGGTTGAAACGTTCTGTCGTTACTTCAATTGGGTGAAAAAACCCAGTCAGTTGGAGTTGAACACGAATTTTCACATATTCAAAGACAAGATCAAGCCCATGTGGGAAGATCCCGCTAATGCTAATGTAAATTTCTAATTCGATGTTGAATCGTTTGGCTCTCGAGGCGCATTATCCTAACGCTTACACGAATTTGATTTCATTAAAGGGCGGAAAATGGGTGATTTCATTAAAAAATCAGCAATTACTTGACCGATGTTGGGAATGGTTGGTGTATTCGTTAGTCGGTGAAGAATTAGATGAGAACGACGATATTTGTGGTGCCGGTAAGGATTTTTTTTTTTTGGAAAATGAGTACCGAATGTATTTAACATATAACAGGCCTTGATTAAGGTTTATGTTTTGAACAGTGATGTCTCGTAGACCTCGCGGAGACCGCATTGCAGTGTGGGTAAGAGATAAGAATAACGTTCCTGTGATCAATGGAATTGGGTAAATTAAGAATATAATTTATATCTGCTGGTTATTCTCGGTACGAAATCGTAGCTGAAATCAATAAACTTTATAATAGGAGACGTTTATTGAAAATTCTTGACTTGCAAAATGAGAACAGCATTGGAATGGACTTTCAGGTAATGAGATTTTCTTAATTAAAATTGGGTCGATATTCGCGTTGATTCTAAAGTTATAAATATTTTATTTTTTATTGTATAAAAGTTCAATGAAGACGCATTGAAATCCGGAACATCATACAATAATCAAGTATATTTATCCCTCGAAAGTCTAAAACAAGAATTAGAGAATGACAAAAAGGAAAAGCTGGATGGACTGCCTAAAGCGGAAAATAATGAGGACAAAGCAGATGATATATCAGAAACATCTAAGGCCAAGGTTGAAGCAAAAGCATCAGATGATGTAACCATGAATGCGGATCCTTCAACGAACGCAAATGATGGCGAGGAGCAACAACACAAAGGAAAATGAAGAAATTTAAATAAGCTTTCATGTAGATAATGGAGAAAGGATTGGTGGTTTCTTCTAAATTGCTTTCTTAGTGTACTTATTATTGTTATTTATTATTAGAATAAGTATATCATACTTCTATTATACAATTTTTAGCATTCATCTCTTTCTCTTATATATAGTCACATTCTTCTATTGTAAATCAAAAACTTCACTTTATACTCTTTAATTTATTTCATTTTCGATTGAAGGTTTATTATAAAATAGACGACTAAATTTATTGATAGATTTTTGTGTAATAATAAATTGATTTTCGAAAGCTTAGACCAGAGTAGAGTCGCGGTGTAGCATATAATGATCCATACGAATGCACAGTTTGCTTGGAATAATAAATTACCAGGATTTGTGGTATAAACATACCGACAGAATTACAGAATTCCAAATTTCTATTGGTCTAGTTAATCGGGTACACATTAAAGAAAAACCAGATTGCATTGCATAATCAAAAGTTGAATTCTGAATGTTACGTCGGGCAATTCGGGGTAGAACAAACTATTTTATGTTCCAAGACATTTATAGGCATGAAAGTCAAACCCCGTTATGAGGATGAAACCGAATATCAAAATCTCCACAATTTTGGGTGACGATCAATTTCTGCTGTGCGCCGTGGAACCCTCGATTAAAATATGCAAGGAATTATGATTGTGCGCATTTAATAAAGCATTCTCCTTTATTAGTTGATTTGTTCTGAGAGGGTAACACGATGATCAAATTTGTAATTAAAAATATACATTTTTGCATATCGTGTCGAACCTAAAACAACTGCCCGAGAGTAAAGTATTAGATCGATAAACAATAATTTTTTTTAGCAACACACATTATGAAATGATATACCGTATATCATATTATGGAACGACTATAATTAATTTTATTACGGCATAAAAATGTGTTACAATTACAGAATGTAAATTCTTATAAATTTATATTTTCAATTAGACCAAGACAGTGATTATAATAATTATATTTTCAAGTTCAAATTTGATTTTTTTCATAAATTTATATATTGTATTTATAAATTAGTATATTATCTTGTTATAATATTTTTTTCTATATTTTTTAGATATAAGTACTATATATAAGATAGAATTGATTCTACTATATACTATATAACAGTTTTATCATAATTTTATTTTTAATTGATTTTACTTATTATTGATAAAAACATAATAATTTTATTATAATTTCATCTAAGTTCTTAAATTTTAATTTTATCACATATACAATGTGGGACACTTACTTTTGGAAAAAAATTTTTTTTTTGTTTTTATTTATAAATAAAAAATTTATTAATTAAATATCATAAATTTTATATACAATATATTATATATTTTTATTATTATAATGAATAAGTTTACTTAAGAAAAAAAAACTCTTTCCGCTGATCCCTATTTTTTCAGAAAATTTTCTTTTTTGGTAATTTTTTTGAAAAAAGAGAAGCCAGTCCAAAAAAACAAGAGAAAACTAATATTAAAGACCATCCACTTATAAAAAACACTATAGAAAAACTATAGAAACAACTAGTTACAGTATAAGAACAAGTAAGTACCTAAAAACTTCTAACTTTTCTATATAAAATTTTTATTTTTCAGAAAGAATAAACAAAGATAAAAACTGAATTATAGTAAGCTCTTGAAAACTCAACATCAATCTCACAAAGCTCTCAACCAGATCAGTAAAAGTTAATATTTTTCTAGATATCAAGAGAAACCTTATAAGCAATAATCTAAATCAATAAAGTAGTCTAAACTCAAATACTCATAAAATTCAAAATGATGTTCAAATTTCATAACTATATAGTAAAGAAATATTTATATCACAATAAACAAAATTTTAACAAATATAATATTATATGAATTCGTACACATATATTTCCTTAAGAAAAATAAAATCAAAAAGATGTGTTCATCTAAACAACATTTACAAATCGTCTACATATTTATAGTAAATGAATCAATAATATTCATATTTTTATATGTTCATATAAACAACATTTAATTATCTATGTATTTACAGTAAATAAATTAATAACACTCATATTTTCATGTATCTATAACAAGCTGATCAATAACAATAATAATATTATTATAACAAACATATGAAGCATAATCTAAATTCATAATACAACAACTTTAAGATTTTTTCATATTATCAAATTAATAATAAGAGATAAACAAACCTTCATCATATATTATAAACAATAAAACACAAGTTAAACCTATTAATCCATGACACATAACAAGTATAACAATGTCAATAATATGAAGATTACTATAGATTACAAAGAAACATGAAATTCATATCCTAGAAATCTTGATTAATTTATCAAACAAGTATGATTAAGAGGAAAAACTATAGGCAATACAAACAATTCTCAATATAATCTTTATATAAGAAGACAATTTTAACTCAGTTCCTAGTCCTACAAGATGCTCAATTATAGATAATATTATAGCTAAAATTCTCATTATTGACTATACTACTTTCACTAAAGCTACAATTTTAAGACAATATATTCTATATTTATAGGTTCAAGAACAAGGAAAAGAAAATGATTTGCTGGCTTCCTTCTTGAAAGACAAGTATATAAAATTGATAAAACAAAAGGAAAAAACATATTGATAGCAATGAACAAAGCAAGAAAACATAGTCACAAACAACATATTGTGATAAAAATAGCATCTACTACCATTGGATAGTTATTTTTAGTCATGATCTTCATTCTATTTCCATTTTT